AACCTTCTGTGGCACCAAGGTCAGGCTGACAGGCCTGCAGTTCCCCAGATCCTCCTTCCAGCCCTTCTTGTAGATGGGTGTCACATTTGCTAACCACCAGGCAGCTGGGACTTTCTGGTTAGTCAGGACTGCTGATAGATAATTTCTTCCAAGAAAGGCAGGTAATTCCAAAGACAGCTAGATGCAATGGACAGTTGAGCAGCAGATTTTTCACCAGGGCTATCAAAAGCCGGGCTACCCACAGATACCGAAGTTCTCCTGTGTGACAGGAGGTAGTGCAGCATGCACACAGAGGTCAAAAAGAAGCCCAAGTCTGGAAACCTATCACTTTTTATCAACATGACACTTACAAACCATTAAAACCATTGTATTTAAACCTCTGAATAGTTTCTCTCATTTTTATTGCATCAACCTTCCAAAACATAAATGCAAGTAAGATAGCATCAAGCGAGCAGGGGAAACAGATGCCACATCTAACACCTTACTTAGACTCAACAGCAGAGACTAGAAAAAACTCTAAACTTTCCAAGATCTCCGATTTTCATGAAGTGTGACCAAGGATGGACTTACTTCAACATGAAAAAGCCTTCCTGTTCAGCTGATCACTGCAAGCTGAAACCTGCTGACCCTAACACTTTGTCCTGACAGTACTGAAGGCAGCAAGATGACAACAAGGTTTTTATGTATTTTATATTTACCTATATATAAAGTAGGCGCAGGTTCCAGACTACTTACTGCCTGAAGACTTCCTTCTGATAAGACACAGTGAAAACCCAGCACACTCATAATAGCTTTGTAGTCCTCCCAGAAAAAGAAATTCTAGCAGCGTGAACAGCCAAACCACACTAACTGCTTGCAGATGACTAACTTGTTGATTATACATTAATTTTGTAGTGACAGGAAATTAGAAGTGGAAATCCATAAAAGCCACAAGACTGGACTGACATTACGTGTTACCCCAATATAAACGTTTATTGCTAAATAAACAGAACTGCCATGGAAGAGCTAGGGAAGTTTCAACAAGCCATTCTTTTTACCAAAATAAACGGCACAGTTCTTTGGTAAAGAATGCTCAGCTAAGACACACGGTAAGACATCGTATGAACAGAACTCACTTTAAAAGTAACCTTGTGTTATCCAGTAGGGCCCACTTTTCAAGGGATTGTCAGAAAACCATCCCAGTACAATTCATGTTTTGCTGCGCATGTACTGAACACCAGGCCCACCACTCTCAAGTAGACCCCTACCTGCCTCAAGTCTGTAAATGAAGAGCGAGATGAGGAAGCTTTCCAGAAAGCAATCCATTTTCTTTTCCAATTGAAAAAGCTAAACAAACACCTATTTGCAAGCAGATTGTAAAACTGCGCGCAGACTTTTTGCAAGTATCTTAACTGATATTAAGATTAGCAACCTGAAAGAAAGCAACCAGAAAGATCAGCTCCAAGGTAAAGATGTGACAACATAATACAAACAAACACACTTCCAGAAAGGGGAAAACAAGGCCTTCAACTTTTTTACCTGCTACACATTATCATAGGACCATACAATATTAAGCACAGAAAGTCCAGTTTAAAAACAAGAGAAGCAATTATTCCTCACAGGCAAGTCGGGTAACTCCTGCTGTCATGGCTGTCCCCAAGAGCCCAGCTGCAGCTTAGCAGCACAGAACACATTCATCAATAGCCATATTTACAGTACTTGCCTTCTGAAGTTTCTCTACTGTGAGAGGAAGAGAAATCAGATCAGAAGCAGACTTCATGCTGGTTTTGAGATGATTTACTGCTGAGGTCAATAGTGATATCTAAAAAACAAAAAGGAATATTTAGAACTAGTCTGATTCTGACCTTCTTCAATACTAATGACTTAATCTGTAACACTAAAACATTAGGAAAGACAAAATTATATATGTAGACTCACACAAAACACCCCTGTGTCTAGGTTAGAAGTCCTGCCTAGGCTACATTTAAAATATTCTGCCTCTTGCAAAAGAAGCAAGATTTCTTTTTTTTTTTTTTTTTTTTTGAACTGAATGAAAGCCATAGAAGCCCCTTCTTTTCAACAAGGTACCCTCTGCCCATTTTACACTCATCCCTTAGAGAGAGGCTGTTGCCCAAGAGAAAGTTAAAAAATTGCACAAGAAGCCCTTACGTGGAGGAACAGTCATCCACTTCTGCATTTAGCAATCAAACCTGCCTAGCAAAACCCAGCAAAGCCATGCAACTTCTCTAGCTGAGCGACGGGCAAAGAGTTGCACATATCACCCAAACCTTCTGCTACAGAACTGGAACAATGACAATCCAGGTAGAGCAGGTTAACTCAATTTCTGTCAACTGTTTTACCCAGAGAGCAAGTTATTCAATGGGTCTTCAAGATTACTTATTCATTCCAATTGAGAGGCTGTCAAATAAATTAAAACCAAGTACATGCCAGTTATTAATCGCCAACACTATCACTTGAAGATCAATTTGAAGCCATCAGTAGTCAAAACAAAGAAAAATAATTTATTCTGACATTTGAGAACAAATGTAGAGCGGATAAAACCCACTTCCTTCTGGCTAAAAAAAAAAAAATAAGTTGCTTCGCAAGCTAAGGAAATGGGCAAGTTCCTAATTTTGCATTAGGCCAATGTTTATCAGCTGGCGTACAGAGTCTCTGGTTCCACAGCTGTGAGTATTGGCTGAAATAATTCCCAGCAGCACATCCCAACAATTCATGGAAACAAAAAACCAGTAACTAAGTTTTGATCCCCAGAAGAACTGGCTCAGACTGTAAATAGACCTGAACTCCAGGGCCTGCAAGAACCATGTGCAAGTATCTTCAATATCCAGGTGCAGATGATAGCATTTTAAGAGTCCAATGAAGCATCTAAATACGTGTGGACAATGCACAGTCAGATGCCAAAGAAAGTCAGTCAAATTTTCACATGTATTTATGTGCTCCACTAAGCACCTAACCACTGCATGGGACTGAAGAAAAACCAATTTGAGCAGGCATCTTAGCACTCTTAAAAATTAAACCCAAAGCACCAGTGTCAGGGAGGATTCCCCACACGCATTACTTGATAACACTAACTGTGAGCAGCTCTGAACTTTTACCCTCCAAGGCAAGAATTTCAGTAAGAGCCTTGCTGGATGCTTTGTTTGAAGCATGACTTAATACAGCAGCTGAGGAAACAGCTTTCTGTTAAGTGGCTTAGTTCTAGCCACGTAAACAGAGCAAAGATTTACACCAGCTCAGATTCCGAGCATGTATTAGCAGATATTATATTCGCAAGACACCAGTGTTTCATTTGTAGCAGCATAAAGTTGCATGGATTCAGGTAACTTTTCCATGCTTATGAAACGTTTGAAGACACTCTCAGTAATCTGAAATGTCAAACCTCTCATCATAAACATAAGAATTATTTGGCAGGAAAATTAAGAACTGCCCAGTTCTCAGGTTCTTTTAAATTCTGCCTGAAGTCTTTCCACCAGTTATGTGATTTCTCCTCTTTACGACCAGTCTTCGGCATCCAACTGGATGCTCAAAATTCTTTTGCTTGTTTAATAACGAGGCTTATGCTCCATTTTATCTTTAAAAAAAGAAGTTTAGCATATGGTCACAGAAGTCCTTAGATAAAAGCTCAGCATTGTACTTGAAATTAATTTCTGTAAAAATACATTTGAATAGAATATTTTATTATTTTTCAAAACCCAGCACTGATCCCTCTCACCTGTTTATTGATCTCTGTGATATTTATCCAAATTTTATTTAGCCCCAGTTCTCCCGTCTCAATTTGTTCTAGCTGCTTTTGCGTCTGCACCAAATCTTCATTCAGTTTAGGAATCTCTTGGAACGATGTTTTTTGATTAGATTCCACTACAAAAACCCAAAAAAAAAAATTACATTTGTTTTAAAAAAAAACAACAAAGTCCAGGTAGACAACATTGAAAGGCAGAAAACAAATTAAAAGCAGCAACATCTACAGCAGCAAAAGGCGGCAGTAACAGTTTCTACATATGGTTTTATTGCCAATTCAGCACTAAGTGTTTGTTCAGAATGACAGCTCTCTTTGGTTTTAAGAGTACTAATGTCTGCAGAGAGATCATACTAAATTTAATGCTTTGCAATGATATTGTCATTCTGGCAAGCCTCAGCAGGTCTTTATTTGGTGCAGTTATTTTGCATTACTTTCACAGAGGAACACAAAATAGCAATGGAACTGTGAGTAAGAATTGCCAACAGAACCAGGGCAAAGGAGGCACATGAAATGAACCTCAGGGCCCTTTTCAAGCCTGCAAAGGGGCTGCTGGTGATGAAGTGAATTCCAAAGAGATTAACGTAATTACAGTTGTTCTGTGTGACAGAAAGACAATTGAAAAAAAAAAAAGTACAAGCTTATACACCAACATCTGTTGGTAAATAAGGATCTTGAAAATAAAGTCAGTTGTTACTGCAGTTAATACTACAGGAAGGGGGAAACATGCAGCTCAAACCAATTCAAACCAGCCTCAGAAATGCAGCTCTTCCAGGTCTGCAGTGACTAAGCTGTTTAGCTGCAAGCGCTATTAGGCAATCCTAAATCCCTAGGTCTGGGAAACAAATAAGCAAAGGTTTTGAAACAGAGATGACAGTTCTCCAAAACCTGCACCTCCACCCTGTATTGAAGCACTGGAATGCTCCACAACAAACCGCCACTGTTCAGACCAGAATGCCAAGAGCAGTGGGACCTGAGTGGTACATAGCTGGCAGCTTCCAGAACAAATTTCCATGTGTGACCCACCCAGTCAAAAGGGGAAGCCTTCAGGAGTGCTTTATGCCCACGGAGCGGATGCCCAAATGCACACAACTGGAGAGCCGCACACCTTCAAAAACCCCACTTCACTTTTCTTGAAGCAAGTCCCAAAAGTCATCTCTAGCTAGAGAGTAAAATGCATTGATCACCCAAGATCTAAGTAACACTTTAAGATCTTGAAAGATGTATTTTAGCCAAAACAGACTGAAAGCTAATTGTGCATTTGACACAAGTGTTTCACACTGAATCTGATGTTTCAGAAGCTCTTGTAGACAAAGTATTTTCTGGTTTGCCACTCTCATTGTGTACAGGGAGACTCCACTCAAGAATATTTTGAAGTGCTAGGAAGGTTAAGTACTGTATGCATTCTTAGCACCATTACTAACAACTGAAGGGAAACCCTGAAATGACTTTCCCCTACCCAAACATACTAGATGCAAAGACGTCTTATATTTAAAAAGCACTCGTACCATACTGTTTGTTCGAAGGATGGCAGAACATGAACAAATACCGCCACGGGAATATGCTCTTATGGGGGAAAAAATCTGGATAAAGATTCAGAGAAGAAAGGTTCTTTTTCCAAGCTTGCTCTAGGACAGACAGATCCCATGCCTTTGTTTCTCCATCCACTCATGCATCTCACCAATGCACAATTATACCTTTTGGAACCAAGTTATTCTTGCTGTCTGCTTTTTTGTTGTCGTTTTTAATGTTGTGCCTCACTATGGGACTCCCATCCAGCTTCTAGGCATGCTATTACAGTAGCAAGGAAATCTGAGACTTATCACTAGACGAAGTATTAAACACACAGCTTTCCTATCACAGTTATTAAGGAGAAGACAAGCACATCTGCCACACAGTAAGCTCAGAGAGAACAACTGCTTTGACAGAGAGGTCTATGTAGAACAGGAATGATGAAACTCAACTACACCAAAGCCAACAAATGGTGTCATCATGCAAGGTTTTACTGCCAGTACACACTTAAAGCAGACCGGTCCATGAAGGATGGCAGTCAGCTTACCCAGAACACAGAAACAGCTACTGCAGAGCTGTTCAGTATACTCACAGCCACAAAGCAGCGCCTGTAACTGCAGGTATCCTCCATAACTGGTGGACACCAGTTACTGCTAACTTTCAGAGTTCTGTATGAGTTAATATAAAAGCACATCTATCAGCAACACTTTCTCTCACTCCCAGCCAGCCAGCAGGTTCTACACTGGCAGACAACTTCCTACCTCATAGCAGAGTTGCACATCTGAACACAAAGCCCTGAACACCAACAGCAAAGAATTTCCATACACATTTCCTCAATACCTCTTTTACCACAAGCAAATCAAGCCTTCTGCCTACCTCCAGCCCTAGCAGCCTCCTAATTTTTGTAATTGATTTCACCAGGCCTATTCTTAAGGTCATCTTCCAAGTCCTGGGCACAAAAATCACAAGATGAAGACCAAAGCTATGGGTCAGAACCCGCAGTCAACAGCGGCGCTCCTCAGGCAAAATGGAACCAGCTAGCTTTCCTGAAGCAAATAGAGACCATCTGAATGCTTAAGCTTCATTCTCTTCTGCTCCATTCACACAGCTCCTCAATTTATCCTTGCCTTTTTCAATATATAGGATTTTAAACACTACTAAAGGAAGGCACCAAAACATATATTGTGTCCAGAGGTGAGGCACAGAGAACCAAGAGCATATGTTACATGCAAACCTCACCATTTATTATACCTCAGCACTACAGAACTTGCAATATTGAAATCTTACATGGACAGTGAAAACACAGCAAAATGCTTCACCTTAACTCCACATTACAAAGTATTAAACATGATATGACTCGACACCATATGCAACATGATACAAAAGCTGAACAAGAACAGGTCAATGCAAGCAAGATAAACATGCAGAGAATACAAAGAAAAAAACATAACACCAAAGCAACATTCAAACTGCAGTAATATCATAGCAAGTACTAGAGGTTTTTAAAACAGCTCAAGACAAGAACACTGTTTTCCATTAATTTTTTAAGGGTTGCATCAAAATCCCCTAGACTGCTTTTACAGGTCTGATCAGAACTTTTTATTTCTAAATAGTGGCTTCCCTTGGAAGACAGCACTCCCCAGACCAAAGTCAGGAATTTTAGAAACGTATGTACAAGCAACTACAGGCCCACCTAGTCCAGTGTCCCTGCTCCTCAGAAGATACAGAGCAGGTGAGACTATCTAACATTTGCCCAAGATTCACCCAGCCTCCAAGTGTTTTTGGTTCAGAGGACTCCTCAGTTCAGGGGCAGTCTATCTACTCAGTACTTTCAGACCTTGAATAAGCAGGTAGGCAACTAAAGCTCTTCATACTGCCCAAAGCAAATGTGAAATAGTGTAGTTACATTTATACTTACTAGTTCGAAACTTTTCCTTTATAGCATCCAGATCCTCCTTGAGAGCTACCTGCATCCAGACTAAGCCAACGCACGCTACCACACAAGCAGCAAGAATGACAAAAGCACATAATGGGTAACAGAACTTGCAGCATCGTAGATAGTCTCCCCTGGATAAAACAAAAACAACAGATTGTGAACATTCAACAATACCTAGAAAAGTTTTACTTTAAATGCTATGCTATGGAAGTAAGAGACAGTGCTGGAACAGCACATGTTTTGGCTTACAAGAGCTAATGAAGAGCTTTTCCAGAACAAATAAGACTATCCAGCGAGCTCAGGGCTATTACTCTCTGTTCAATTTATCCTCAGGAGGTACATCTAGCCTATTTAAGAGCAGCTGTCAGGTTTCTCATACTAAAGTTTCCTGCTCTGCTCACATAAACTTACATTAGGAACATCTGCTCGATAGCTTAGAAAGAAGGCTTCAAGAAAGGGTACTACCATGTCATTATGACAAATATTTCTAGATTATCCTAAACTGTAACAGCCTAAGCTTCCCTGCAACATGCCTACTTTCAATTTTTCTTAGAGGCCCATAAATGATGCTGTTATTTAACTGAAAAGTTTATTTATTGGCAAAAGCACGTCATGTCCACGAGAAAACCAGCACTGCATCAGCTCGCAGACACAGGATTAGGCCACGCTAAACACAGGGATAAGTGTGCTCAACATTTCAAGCAACTGACCCCGAGCTGCTCTAAGGACTTCAGTTGCGGTGATTGTAAAACAGAAAAAAACAAGAAGAGAAAAGCCAGAGGACGGTTCGGATCTCCTTCTACCCCCATCCAGGTGACCTGCTGGGCTCTCGGTGCACTCTCAGTGCAGCTCCAGCTCTCCCCTGGAGGTCCCCAGCGCCCCACAAACCCCCACAACCGCGAAGCTGACCCGCTGAAAGCAACG